TAGCTGGCAATTTTTGCGATTTATCAAAATAGAAGTTAGTTTGCGCTGCTGGACACTTTCAAGAACAGGCATTGCTTAGACTCATTGCCAACACAAATTGAGTTGATCCAAGGCTTAAGCTGGAAATCTTTTCATTGCAGATTTACGGAGATTCGGCAATGTGAGCAATGTTATTTTGTATCGGGATGGACGAAATTATGTCTATTCAACACTTTTCATTCGAATAGGATTAGAAATATGAGAATTTCCTTTCTAACATTCCCGTTATACAAATCCCAGAAATAGGTGAGACTTGCTTAAAGTTTTCCCATGCTTCCTTGTGTACCAATTTTTTTCTCCTTCTTTCCTTTTGCATTGTTTTCTTTGTTTTGTTGTGCTTTCTTTTTTTCTGTTTTTGCTAACCCCCCTAACCCCAAAATATTTTGCTGGCTCGTCCCGTAGCAGACATGTGAGGAAAAGGAGACACCATTCGGAATCAATCATGATCATGAAATGTGATTTACACATGAACGCTTTCTCCAACGATCGCTTTATCATGGCGAGAGACTTGATCGGAGTCATTATCCTCTCTTGGTTTTAGCTCATTCTCTCTTGGTTTTAGTCTCCTTCGCAGCCGCTCGGGCTGGAGTCACGCAATGCTCTCCACCCTCTTCCGTGGACGTTTATCTTAAGCCCTGTCCCAACCTCGTCCCCAGGGCTTTTCTCTTAAAAAATGGGTGGGGCGGCAAAAGGCCCTAGCATCGGCTGGTCACGTGTCCCCTCGTACACCCTAAAATCCTAGGTGTAATAAATTAGCGGTATGTGAAAAGCTAAAATTATGTGTAACCTCACAGCGCGCGATCTTGGGCGGCCTTTTATAGTCTTGACGATTAACGAAAAGTTTTACAAGATTTCCTTTTTGTCACAGATACTGGCTCCTGATACTGGCTATGGTATTTTTTTGCTTTCCTCCGATTTCTATGAAGGGGACAGCGAGTAACATTTATAACAACGTTTATAGAGGATATAAGTACATATGAATGACAAACAAGCTATCGTACATGCATTAAAGTTTGTGCTGGAAAAGTCTGTTTTCGAGACTCTTCTGACATTTTATTTCATTTCTCGCGAAGTGGACCGCCGTACACAGCCTAGTTCTATTTACCTTAACTCTCAGCCATTTTATAGCGACACGCGTTGGTTTAGACTTATCTTGTATGACCTGTGTTTTTAAAAAATTAACTGACCTCTGCGATCAAACGACCGGCAACAAAGAAAGACTCGGGCCCATTTAAAATTCACAGTGCTGTAGTTGATTCCAGTCGATCGGTCAATCTTCCCTTTAATATAAGGAAAATCCTTTGTACTTATCCTCGGAAGAGAAAAGATATAAGAGGTCTTCAAATGTTTCAGATCGGCGACCTATCATCGTTCCTGGCTGGAGGGCTGACTTGCATCCGGTACGGAGATTTTTTTGTTTCATGGTCGGGTTGTAGAAAAGACCAGACTCCATAAAGCATTTTGATGAACAATAGTCCAGTTTTGAGTTCGCTATGACCGCTGAATTAAAGAAGTGAAGACGCATTTTTTACAGGCTTAGCCTCCATCTAAAGTAATATATTCACAAATTCCAACGAGAAAAAGACCTGTGTATTACTCTGTCTATTGTGTATATTCAAATTTCAAACACTTACTTGCCGGAATTTCTGAATATTTTACTTTATGTGGAGGCTAACCCTGTATAAATGTGCCGTTGATGTTTGCATTCAGCGGTAATTTTTAATTCGAAACAGAACTATTGTGTTTCAATTAAGTTCAATTTGTTTACTTCAATGCAGATCCTGGAGGGAAAGGCCTGCATTTTTGTTTGACATTGGACAAAATCACTTTCCGCTTGATCGTACAGTAATTCCACAGTCACGATGAATTTCTGAAGTAACACTCCATAACAGCTTGTCTGAACTCTGAAGCATTTGACATACTTTGTACGTGACAACGTAGAGCCGGTACGCCCTTTCTAGCATTTGACTAATACGCAATTAAATGGATCTTAAGCTTTTGAATCGCACAAACGCGAAAATATTGACATAGTTTGCGATGTTATTATTTTCCATTGTTGCTCCATTCGACTTCTGTCAGCGCAAAACCAGCGGGTTGCATATAAATTAGCTTCTCAGGAATATTTAGGCTGTACACGTGACAAGCCGATGCCAGGGCCTTTTCCCGCTTCACCCATTTTTTAAGGGAAAAACCCTGGGGACGAGGTTGGCCCTGTCCACATTAAAAACGTAGAAGTTTGAACGTGCTGTGTGTGTAAGATATTTTTGGTCCTGGCTGGACCAGTGTCTTGGAAAACACAACATTTATTTGGTCAAAAATGGATAAACATGCAAAGTGCATAATTATGTTCTAAATGTTTTCTCTCAGATTAAAACGCAAACCTGATGTTTTCAAATTTACTCGCTTTGAAGCTGGAATATGCGATGAGCGTTTACCAGAAGTTCTGAGACTGTAAAACAGCCGGCCCTTTTTTATGCCCTTGTATGATTTTCGCACGCGCGTGGGCCTCACACGCTCATAGGGCGTGGCAAATATCCTTTTCACCCTCGTTCCAGATGTTTCGTTTCAGCGGGGGTTCGTGATCTACGTAAAAATACGGGCTGATTTACAGGCGAAGAGTTCCATTTCTTTGGTCGACAATTTAACCAGCTAACTTTGATACCTTTAACGGACTCCTAGAGTTACTATCCTCTGGCATCAGTCCCTTTATTGTCTTTTTTTTGATCTTCGATGAGACGATATCGTATTGAATACTTTGCTCTCTACGCAGTACTAGCTACAAAATAATTGTCCTCCCCGCCCCCCCCCCTCCACACACACACACACACAATGCCTATCAAATGGTTTGCCCAAATGACCAAAACCTTAAAAACCTTGTTCTTTTTATCTGCTACCATCCGTTCCCAAAGCAGCCTGTGGGAAAAGTCCAGAGCTTTGCGTGAAACCATATCACCCTTATTGTTGTTGTTGTTGTTTTTTTTTTTTTCTGAAAAGTGTGGGTATCCCGGTTTTTTTGTTGATGCAATGTAAGTCAGGTTCTCTATATTTTCTACATAAATTATTAAACGAAACAGCATAGTTGCGCTCGATGAAAAGTCCCGGGGTGGGAATTACGGCCTTTTTTGTGTGCCTACGGTGGGGAATAGACCGACGACAAGTGAGAGATAGATGGTAGAAATGAACCATTCAGTGGCCGATTGTACTCTTTGTGAAGAGTTGCAAGGTTTTACTCAGGTAATGACGTACCTCAAAAATGGTTCCTCTGAGTTCAGCGATGATAAATTTGCCTGCAAAGTTCATAAGAGGAAACTTTGACCACTTTCTTGGCCGGTTAAATAGCTTATTTTAAGAAGAGGCGAGTGCTCTCTTTGTTTTAACCATATTACTTTTTGTACGAACATTTTGTGTCAATTTAACAATATTTTTAATAGATTTAAAGCATTTTGTCGACCAGTTGGGAAGGGCGCATTAAGGGCGACCTTCCCCCTGGGTCACTGAAGCAACGGGACTAGTCTATAATGAATGCAAGCTCTTTAATGAACATAAACACTGTTAAAAAATATATTAAAAAGGAGTACCTTGGGTGGTGTCGATATCATTTGTTGCCCTTTGTTGTTTGGTTCGCCAAACGCAGTTTTTCCCCATCTTAACTCTAACAACTTCCAGCCCCTCAGTAACGGTTTTTTATCCAATGAAACAAACTTTCAGATGCACTTTATCAAAGATTCTTGATTTGAGATACTGTACATGTATTCTTAACATTCTGTTTTCGTTAAGCCAGTATGAAATTATGTCTGTAAATTGACACTGCACCTGACCTTCTGCTAAAAAAAAATAAACAAAACAAAACAAACAAACAAAACGATAGAAGCCTTAAATATTCATTAGATACTACATTATAGAATATTATACTACATTATATTCATCTTCATTGAAAAAAATGCGTATCTGGGCACATTAAATATAATTTCATGGAGTCGGTCACGGTGTTACCCGCGGTAGCGTGACGGTTTCAACATTTTATGCAAAAACATCGAAAATGAACTGCGCGTTTACCTCTCTCGGCGGGTTGCTTTTTAATTTCCCAGGCTGGATTTTTTATATGTTGTACTACAACAGTAGGGCTTCTCTGACGTATAATAATTCTTCTAAAATTACATGTACCAAGCTGTGATTTTTTCCTTCAAAGTTTCGCAAAATTTCATTGTTTATGAAAGTGCTGAAGATAGGAATCTTCAGGCGTTTTGAAACAGCGTAAAAAATTCATTATCTTGCAATATTTTTTCCAAATAGTATTGTAACTGGGATGCCTTACTAACCTGCCAAAGATGAACTTGTTTCCTTGAACCGTCTTTCTTCCCGAGGGCTTTCAAAATGGTATAATTCAAAGGTTTTTTGACCGGCGACTATATGGCGTGGGACAGCATTTCAGTTTTTGTCGGTTTTCTCGAAAAAGAAAATTCTTTGGAAACTTTGATTGTGATTTTCGAAAGTGTTTCACCAAAGGGTTTTTTGTGACTGAATATGAAGGATTTCGAAATTTCCGTTTTGGCGGCAAATTCTCGATATTTACAGACAGCCGCTCTTAATCACAACGTTTGACTATAAAACTCTATTTTTATTAAAATTTATATTTGTGAATTTACAGGTTTAATAATAATCATACAAGCTTTCAAGTTTTTCGTGAATGTTCTGTACTAGAACTGACGCAAAACTGTATCATGGCCATACCTAATGGCAGCTTTTAAAAAATGATGTGAGTCAAAAATATCACATGGAATTTCCTTGTAAAACTTAAATCTATCAATAAAAAAACGAACATTCCTCTGTCGTATTGTGTATAAAATGGTTTAAAATTCACGCTCGGTGCCTTTGTTTATACCTATATCCTGCATTTTATCTTTAAAACTGAAAACTATAACTTGAGCAATTGCTTTTGTAGTTGTGTATACCGTATACATTTATTTTTTCGAAGAGAAAATCTCGCCCACTTTGCCCACGACAGAAAGAGTAAATTCCTGGTGTCTTTGTTGAGAGTCGCTTTGGGATTTTAACAAAGCCTTGAACATCCGTTCGTCTTTCTCGTCTGCTTTCTCCATGGCTGCTTGTTGTGCCTCCATGAGATTGAGAATGGTACTTTCTGCCTCCTTTCCTTCAAGGCTTGCTCTCTTCTTCTTCTTTTTTGATTGACAGGGTGAATCATCTTTCTCATTTGGCTTTTCCCCAACAGCGGCCGTTGTTGGACCAGCAATAGTGACAGTAGCTGACGCGTCACTGCTCCCACTATCGGAACTTGTCGGGGAATCCTTTGGCCTCACTTGCATTACTCGCGTTTCCTTGACAAATTTCGGGTTTACTTTGTCGGACCCTGACATGAACTCATCGGTCTCATCGTAAAACTAAAAGGTCCTACGATCCCTTCCCGTTTTGTTGTTGTTATCTTTGACAGCTTTGTATTTGTCGAACAAAGACCTCCATTTCTCTTTGACTCGGGCTAATGTTTTCTCAGTTTCTATTCCAGCGTCGCTGCATAAACTCAGAAAATCTTCCATAATTGAATCCCACACGCTTTTCTTCCCATGGCTACTCTTTGTAGACCTTAGGCGATCGTAGTTGTCCCGGTAAGCTACAATCAAGCTACGTACTTCTGCAGGTTCCTAGCCTGTGTGGCAGGCGTTTGAAAGGGAAGGGAAAGGGAGTTTTAGGTGCGAGAGTAACGCGGGGGGCGCGCGAGGAAAGAGGGAGGGAAACGCCTGCCAGGAGACCATTGTTTTTCTTGTTTTTAACATCCACCAGGCGAATGTTTAAATCCTGATTGGTCTGTCTTCAAAACATGTCAATCACAGCCTTGATACCTTAATCCGATTGGCTGAAATCAACATCACGCTACTGAGTAACTTAATCGATCTTTCAGTAATCATTTTTATGTTGTTAGTGAGGCGTGATCAGATTTCTGTATGGAATTCGTCGTTTTAGAACGATTAGAAACTGAAGGCATCTATTTCAGCTTGAAAGGAGAATAGAAGAAAGCAGTTAAAAGACTCTTTGAAGGAAAAGACTTGTGGGCTAGATGAGTTTTGCTGACTGGTTTTGAGAAGTCTTGCCTCCCAACGGCTTGTTTTGCTCACTAGAAGAAAGAAAGAAAAAATCATGCTTCCTGTATGCTTGTTTGTTATCTGCTGTTTGACCTCAAACGCCTACCACGTAGGCTATGCTTTATCAACGACCAGATCGTTGAAGACGAAGCGATCTATAATCCTTAGTGATTTTTGGTTTGAGGACTTCTTCTTGCTGGTTATAGACGTTATAAAGCCGCCAGGAACTTCCTTTGATAATAATATTGATTGCAGAATTAGCCTTATTTTGGAGATCTTTGAAGTTCAGCTCTTCTTTCCCCTGCTACCAGCGTTCTTTTGTATGCTCCGCTGGATCCAGTTCGAGAGTCAGCAGTGTGTTTGCAATTAATTTCACCGACAAACATTGCATGCAAGTTGGGAAGTCCAACACGATACCTTCAGCAAAAACGTAATAGATTTATGCTGTATTTTATATAACAAGCCACGCATGGTTGCGACTTTCTTCCCTCAACGGACCACCGCATTTGTACTTTTTTTAATAGTACCTTTACTTCAGATATCTTGTTTTAGGAAAACAAAAGAAAAACAGCACGCGAAATATGACGTAAATAAACGCATCGCGGCCAGACTTATTTGACAGTTAGTCATTCACAGTTGCGTTATTTTTGCATACATAATTAGTAGGCGGGATGGCGAAAACAATGGTTTCCTGGCAGGCGTTTCCCTCCCTCCCTCCCTCCCTCCTCGCGCGCCCCTCGCGTTTCTCTCGCACCTAAAACTCCCTTTCCTTTCCCTTTCAAACGCCTGCCACGCAGGCTAGCAGGTTCCCAACTTGTACGTCGGTACTTTTCTCCCTTCTTACCACATGTTTCAGCTTGAGAAATGCCGGCTGATGGCTCCGAACATCCAGGCATTGGACTACAAGATCGCGGAGCAGGCTCACGAACGTACTGTAAAGGTATTCTTGGGTTTCCAGTTAAATAATAAGGATAAGGAGGGTACGTTGGTTGTGGTGGTGGTTGCGGATTTCTCTCTTGCTCTCGACCTCTCTGAAATAAGTAACCGTTATACAGCGGCGCATCTTGATCACCATCTTCTGGTCTAAAGTTACTGTCAAAAAACAAAAAAAAAAACAATTACAAAACCATGTCGCACTAAAGGAACTCAGATAATTAGGGTATTTGGAGCAAAGACGTGTAAAATATACTCACTGTGAACCTCGAAAGTTCGCCATGCTTGTCGCCGCGTGTCTTGAATTAGGTACGTGACAGGGTATCTGCCACGAATTCAGCGCAGCATGTGCTGCGGTTTCCGGTATTTACAATTTTCCTCTACCCGATTGGTTGAACTACTCTTGTGGTTAGATAAACCACAGATAAACCATACGACTTGGCTCCGGGAGTGTCATGGGTTATTCTTTTGTTCTCTTTGATGTATTCCTAGTGATTTCCCGTGGGTACTTTCACTGTTTTTTTTTTTATAGGTCACACACAAAACATGTACTCCCCTTGGGCAAAGTCATACTTTCCCGTGGGCAAAAGCTCCAGCGGAACCGCAACTAATGCTTCTGTAGATTTTTACTTGTATTTTTGCATTTCTTTGCTTTTTTATCAACTTTAACAACAACAGAACGGCTAGTAAAATCGAAGTGGCTGCTTGACTGTTTTCTCTCCAGCAAAGTATGCCTGTCCTGTTTACGATCCTCGCTGTGTCTTCGACTCCCTTTCGCGGCGGTCATCTTGGTCTTATCATGTACAAACACCACAAGTCCAGAGTCCCACTCTCTGGCACTCCAACATCGGCCATAATGACGCAGCTTCTGAGACACAGTTGTCATAATTACTTATTCGTTCCGTCGTCGTTCAGCTTAAACTTAACCCAAACCCGGCTGGGAGCTGGTCATTAAATCGGTTACCAATATACCAGGGAAATATTAAGATGAAATGATAAATATATGAAATTTACATACTTGAACGGCGAAACAAAGTAATAAATGAAGAGAAGATCATCGCAAGTTGACGCAAATTATGCAGTTGCGAAATGAAGCCTGAAAATTTTCAGGCTTGCCTGGATTGGAACCTTGACCTCTGCGATACAGGGGCAGCGAGCGCTCTAACCAATTGAACTAGCAGACTAAATTGTTTCGTAATATACTAGGGAAAGATGAGGAATAGATGATTAGTATATGAATTTTATCGTGTGTTCATTTTATATAAAAAAATATATATACTGAATGGTCAAGGCGAGATCACAACTCTTTCAGCGATCCACGTGCATGAACGCGCGACGCAAATTTCGACAAATGTTCATACTAAACTCGCCCCGCGAGGAATGAATAAATCACTGAACTTAAAAGTGTATTGAACGGTGACTAAAGAGCAATGACTTTCAAATCAACGCTTTCGTAAAATCTAAACTCTCATAATAAACTGATACATTTAATTGTTGCATTCTTCTTTTAGAATTTTAAAGCACCCTCACATCGTAAAGTTTTATGGCACCTCACTGGTAAGAAAACAAGATTCCGTGAGAATGATATTGGTGTTAGAAAAGTGCAAAGTAAACTTGAAGAGGTACATCTTTGATCACGAAGAGTTAGTTCCCGCTACATCACAAGGTCCAGAAGCCTTCAAGAAAGTTTGTCAATGGGTGAAAGAGATCACTGATGCTCTGGCCTACATTCATGAACAGGGCATTGTCCACAGAGACTTCAAATTGGAAAACATCTTGGTAAGACGCAAAGCTTTGAGTGTTTATTTTTACCTGCCTAAATAGGGGATTTCGATAGATATGTGATACCAACCAATTGGTGTAAAATGTAAAGCCTGTCTCGTCATAAGCGTGGGATGTGACATGATCATAAAATACTGCTTTCTTGTTCTTTCTCATTATTGGGCTGCCTGGGAAACGAAAACCAATCAAGAAATGAGTTGCATCTATGTCAATAACAGACACGTGGCGGACGGATCTCCCAGAAAGCATTTTGCCCTATTCCCCTGCAGAGGGGCCAATTTGTGAGGGGAAAGGAGTGTATGCGCAACATCAGATAAAATATCTGGCGAACAGTATTTGAACGAAACCCTCTTACGTGGAGTTCTTAGTCCTATACTTATATAAAAACAACAAATTAAGGAAAAACTTGATCACGTAGTAAGCCCGTAGATTCTTCTTGCATGAAGTCGCCCTAACATTGGATAAGCCTAACATGTCAATAGAATTGAAAAACAACGGTCGTACTAGCTAGGAGTAGCGGAGCTCGCGCGCGCGAGCGTAGCCCCATACCTAAGAAAATGTGGTAATCTAACCATCCCAGAAATTTGGGTAATCACGTGACGGTACGCTCGTTCGTCGGCACCACAGGCATACCAATGAAAAATAACTCAATCAACAGGTATGGTAACCCAAATGTCGTTTTGGTGGGAATTTGCATAGCCACCCGTCGTGTGAAGCAGAGACAACTAAAGAGTCAATAAAGATGAAAACGGAAAGCGGAAATTGTTTCTGTATCCGTGTTGTCTAAAGCACATTGCATTAAGCTGAGATTAATTGCCATGTCCACAAATTTGGAATATAGAGAAAGAGAAAGACGGAGAAAAGAGAAAGTAGGCGACAGGCCAGCGAAGCTCAACGTGAAAAAGGGCAACAGAGAGCTGAAGAGCGAGGCGATAAAAAAAACAAAGAAGAAATTTTTTTGTTGGATAAAACAACATGAAAATTTTGTAGCGGCGGTGAGAAAATTAGAAATGCTACCGGCCACCAAGGTGAAAAAGAGCGGCAGTTCAAAAAAGAAAGTGAGCAAGAGCACGTACGACATTTCCTCCATAAAACGTGTAACTTGGAAGTTTCTGGAAGTTTCACGTTGTAGTCGTGCAATAAACGGCAAGAACGTGTGCTGCACGTGCAAAGTTGCTTTTTTGCTTATTAGACCTATTGTTACAGTGGACAGTGTTTTTCGTGCGCTCTGATTGACTACTCAACCTTCGGATATCCAGTGCTATTCACTGATTCACCTCTAGTTCCTCCGACCGAGCGACGTCGAACTTGCGTAAGTTACGAGCAAAATGGCTTCCCGGTTTGCTGTGGTAGCAAACAAAGAAATTTCACAAATAATCAAACAAGCTGTTGCCGAAATACTCAACAAGGTGACGAAATTCGGTTTGGCCGCAGTTTTAAAAGGTAAAGCTTTGTCTCTTTGACTTGAATTTATCGATGAAACCGGTGAAAAAGTTTTTTGTTTCCAAATGCAAAATAAGTCTTGTGTTAGTTTATTTAGCTGACATAAATAAGCTTAAAGCTAAATTTAATAGTTTTTTTACAGAATGGTTCCAAATACAACAAGAATTCACAACTCTTTTTGAAGAAATTTCCCCACAAGAGATAAACAAATGGCTTCAAAAAGTGTTATTTGTCGGCAAGAAAACGCGACAGCCGCTCAGTCATTGCCTGCCAAAATTGTAATTGTTGGCAACAGTAAATAAGTTCAAAATCTTCATTTTGGGGATCAATTACCTCTGTCACTGTTTTAGTGGCCGAGCGGTTAGAGCGCTGGACTTGCAATTCGGAGGCCCCGAGTTCAAGTCCCTCCCTGACCGCTTGCTGGATTTGTTCATGGTAGTCCCGAGTTCAAATATAGCCTTGGTAACGCTGGTAAATACCCAGCTGGTTTGCCTCCGGCCAGTTGGGATTCTTAACCCTGTTATGTTTGATTTGAATTATTTGTTTCAGTCATTTGCTCGGCCTTACTAGCATAAGTGCTATAAATACTACTGAGGGTAAATAAAGGAATTATTATTGTTATTATTGTCATTATTATTATTATTATTATTATTATTATTATTATTATTATTATTATTATTAACCCTAGTCAGCTGACCGAACATTTTATCAGTGACTTATCTTGTAGCGAAGAAGAAGTGGCGAAACTACTTCAATCAATCGATGTCAACAGAGCATCTGGCCCTCACAATATTCCTCCAAGAATACTCCAGGAATGTGCTATGGAAATGGCCTTACCACTGACAAACTTTTTTAACTTCACTTTGTATCGGGGGAATATCCCAACTGATTGGAAAGTTGCAAATGTTGTCCCAATATTCAAGTCTGGCAAAAAGAACTTGGCTGATAACTACCGTCTAATTTCATTGACTAGCGTCGTTGTGAAAACGTTAGAGCGCTTGATCCACAAACACATTATGAAGTATCTGACTGACTTCCAACTGCTTAACGACAATCAGCATAGATTTAGACCATCAAGATCTTGTGTTACCCAGTTACTGCAATTAGTACATGAGTGGTTTCAGGCCTTGGATAAACTTGGATCAGTTGACTCAGTGTTTTTAGACTTTGCCAAGGCTTTCGATAAAGTCTCCCATGCCCATCTCCTCTACAAATTGGAATGCTATGGTATCAAAGGCCAGATGTTAAATTGGTTAAGGGATTTTCTCACGTCAAGGAAACAGCGTGTAGTGATTGAGGGTCAAGCATCTGACTGGTTAAGTGTTACTTCTGGTGTGCCCCAAGGCAGTATACTTGGGCCTTCGCTGTTCCTTGCATAAATCAACGATCTTCCTTACTCAGTAACCTGCAACTCAGATTCGTTTGCTGACGATACTGTCCTTCATCACCACATAGGAAATAGATCGGATTGCGATCTACTTCAAGAGGATATGACATCTGCCTCTGATTGGTGCAAGAGTTGGCTTGTTACTCTTAAGACCGAGAAGTGTGAAGTCCTACACGTTACACGGAAGAAAGATCCGATAAGATGTCAATATTCGTTGAATAACACCTTACTACCGGAAGTGGACCACCACAAACACCTGGGACTTTGGTTGGAGTCGTCTTTATCATGGGATTATCACATTAACTCAATTTGTGCTAAAGCTAACAAGGTGTTGGGCTTGATTAAAAGAACTTTTGGTTATTCAAACAAGAGTGGTATCAAGACAGCTTTCAAGGCGCTAGTGATACCTATCCTCGAGTACGCCTGCCCAGTCTGGAACCCTTACCTGGTGAGGCACATCAAGGCAATCGAACCAATTCAGAGAAGAGCGTCCCGACTAATATGTGGCCCCGACAAAGAATATCCTGAAAAACTTCTTGAGTTAAAACGAGACTCTTTAGAACTGAGAAGGAAATATCTTAACCTTGTTCAAATGTAAAAGATTATATTTGGTTACTGTTATATCAATTGCCATCATTATTTTGATATTATTGGAGTAACTCGAACTAGAAGTAAGCATAAGTATAAAATAAGGCCTAAAGTCGCCGGTACAAATTGTTTTAAATATTCATTTTTTCATAGATATATTAATGATTGGAACTCTTTGCCTTCTGAAGTAATGTCATCTCCTAGCCTTCAGTCTTACAAAGTTTCACTGATTAAGTACCTTCGCTCATAATTTACCTCGAAATACTAGGCATAGTGTCTTTAATATAAGTTTATGCATTATTATTAGGTATCTAGGTTTATAATTTATAGTCTAATTATAGTCTTTTAACATATGTTTTATATTTTACTATTTTTTTCTTTTTCCTTTTTCTTTTTTGGAGGGTATGTCTTAGCATGGGAATTTGGTTTCCCCCTACTACCGTCCTGTGGACCATTTTTGTATTTTTGTTCGATTGTTTATGTATATGTGTTAGTATTAGTTCATTTGTATCAGTTATGTATGCTTACGAACTGTGATTAAACATTAAACATTATTGTAGATTTTATTTGAAACCAATAGATCTCTAACAGTAACGAGCTTCCATTCCGATACACTTGCCAAAAAACAATAGGGTTCCACAAAGTAACGGGCTTCCAAACCGATACACGTGCCTTCGGCAAAATTACAATTCTCTAAATCAAAAAACTGCTCCGTTCAAAGTGTCACATGATCACGTGTTCCAAGCGTGATCGGCTACATCTAAGATCAAAAAATGTCTTGCGCGAAATGTAACACAAAACTCCGTGACACACTGCCCCCTTGACCAGTCGAATCACTGGTCAACTACTCTCCGAATATAATCAGCATTCCGAGCGGCAAGACGCCTGGGTGGCCTGATGCCATCAATTATCTGCTCCTCCCGAGGTTGTTCATCATTACTAACGACAGGTATCTCCAGGGGAAACAGCCTTTGCACTGGCCTCTTCATAGTAACAGGTCTACCACTCTTACTGATAACCTTGACTACAGCTGCTCTAACGCGATCGTCCGCACCATGGATCAACTGCTCCACTCGTCCAAGTTTCCACTGACTACGGGGCAGATTGTCTTCCAAAACGGTAACAACATCTCCCTCAGATACAGCAATACTGGATCTATGCCTGGATTTCTGCCGATGCAGGTTCCTTAACTCTGTAACATATTCTCTTCTCCAGCGCCTCCAGAAGTGTTCCAGTAGCAATCCCAAGTACTTCCGTCTTCCTGGGAGATCTTCCGACGACACTGTATGGTCAGGTGCGGCTTGTAGATTTCCTATTACCTCCGGCAGTGATAACATTCGTCTTCCATACATCAAGTGACTTGGTGTCAATGGTTCTTCAGGATCATCTGACGATACGTAAGTTAAGGGTCTAGAATTCAGAGTTTCCTCAACCTCGACGAGAACAGTGTGCAATTCGTCATAGTTTAACTTAGCGTTCCTAAGTGTCTTCCGCAAACATCTCTTTGTATCCTGAATCAATCGCTCAAGAGAGCAACCCCACCAGGGCGCTCTGTCCACATTAAATCTCCAGTCAATTCTTTTACTGGCCAGGAATTTCTTGACTCTTGGATAAGAAAATAACTTGCTCAAAATTTTATCTGCAGCCTTAAACGTTTTGGCATTGTCCGAGATAATCAGTTCTGGTAAACCTCTTCTAGCTGCGAATCTCCTCAGGCAACGGATGAATACATCAACCGACAGGTCCGTAGCAAGCTCTAAATGTACTTCTCTCACAGAACAGCAGGTAAACAGGAGAACATAAACCTTCTGTAACGCTGACTGTCCTGACACCTTATGTACAAAGGTCCAGCATAATCTATTCCGACATAAGTAAAGGCAGGTTTCTGGCTCAATCTAAACTCGGTTAGGTCACTTTGAGGAGGCACTCTGTAACTCTTCCCTTCATATCTGCGACAAACTGTACAGCTAGCCAGTGTTCTTTTAACAAACTGTCGTCCCTTGACAATCCAAAATCTGGTTCTCAGCTTGGCCAGCGTAGCTTCTACCCTATTGTGATGCACCCTTTCATGAGCATCTCTCACCAACAGAGTTGAAAGATAATGATTCTTTGGTAGTAAGGCTGGGAACTTCGTCTCATGTGGTACATCAGCATTAGCAATTCTCCCCTTACATCTTAGGACTCCACTACTGTCTTCGTACAAACCAAAGTCTCGCTCTAACTGACTGTAATTTGCTTGGGACTTCAATTCTTTCTGGACACTTCTTAACCACTTTACTTCTGCATTTCCAAGTTCTTCTGCAGTAACCTCTTTCAAGTAAACAGTTCCTTCCTTTAGCAACTTGGCCTTGATTTTTTTAATTTTTCACAAAACGCAACACCAAGGCTGTAATACGAAACAACTTGTCACAGGAGCTAAAATCTGTGATCGGAATAATAGTGTCCATATTGGGCAATCCATTTGTAGTTAACAATACTGCTTCACCAACTGCTTCGATAGCTTGGCCTTTCTACATCTCTACGCAACACTCCTCAGCAATTGTTTAGGAACATTCCTCAGAACTGGGCCAGTTTTTCATGGGCTCCGACAGCCACGAATGTCCCTTCCGCCACAACACATTACTCTTTAACTTAGCCATTCCTTCTCCACGAGATCCTATATCTGCTGGGTTCTCAAAGCCAGGACAATGGTTCCACATGCTCTCCTCGGTTAATCACACGATTTTGCACAAACTGCTTCCACTCCTTCGAACCCTTTATCCAGCAGATTGCAGTATTGCTGTCCAGCCACAAGTGTGTCTTATCAATTGTAATCTGTGACGCCAAGGCTTCTTTAACCTTAAATGAGGACACCAATCTCGCTAAGATGACCCCAGACAGTAATTCGAGTCTAGGGATAGACTGCCTTGTTAGCGGTGCCGCTCTGGTTTTGGATGACAACAAAACTGGAAAAAAATCACCACTCACTTCAAGAACCAAGTAAACAGCAGCACAATAAGCCTTCTCTGAAGCGTCCCCAAACCCATGAATAACATACGACGTAACACCTTCCTCTAATCCAGCATACACAAACCGCGGGACTAACACTTGCTGCACCTCTCTCAAGTCCTGAAGCCACCTGTTCCACTGCTTCTGGGCAGACTCCGGGAGTGGCGCATCCCATTCAAACTTGTCCTGGCAAAGAGACAGAAACAAAATCCTCATTTCCACCAGTATTGGACTGAGTACTCCAAGGGGGTCAAAGAAACTTGAAGTAACCTTTAACAAGTTTCTCCTGGTCGGCTCCAAGTCTTGTGAAAGTCTCAGTGAGGCTTCACATTAAAAAATGAACTCCTCAGTAACACAGTTCCAGTTAAGACCAAGTATTTAGTGTTCATCCTTCATATCAAGCTTCTCCAAATGATTGACAGTAGTTTTCGCATAAGACTCTGTATCCTCCACTACAGCACAAGTTCCGACAGTTCCAACTTGGTCCACACAATCAATTCAAGCAATTTAGGTGAATTTGAAATCTACTTTCGCAAGTTAAACCCACCTTCCAATAAGCACTTCTTAGACTTCTGATAAAGCGACTGACACTCCTCAACACCCCTTTCTCCTGTCACCAAATCATCCACATAAAATGAATTCAACAAGTTCTGAACCAAACCAGGGTCAGCCTCATATTGACTGATATGATACTTCAAAGTGGCATTCAAAAGAAAAGGGCTAGCATTGACTCCAAACACCACACGACAAAACCGATATAACATCAATCCGGGATGCTCTTCTTCTAAACTGTCCACCCAGAGGAATCGCAGGACATCACGATCTTCTTCAGCAACTCCCACATTGAGAAAGGCCTTTTCAATGTCTCCTACAAGTGCAATTATTTTCTCTCTAAACCGGAGGAGAACATTGAAGATCGTTGGAGTTAAGGCTGGTCCTGAGTAAAGACATTCGTTAAGACTTGGACTATCACTGCTGGGCCTTGACGACGCATCAAAAACAACACGAAGTTTGGTTATAAGGGCATCCCAGCGTACCACCCCATGATGCGGTAAATAATGCACCCTTCCAACATCAGGACGCTTGGCACAGTCTACTTGCTCAATTATACCACTCTGCAACTGATCTTGTATGATGGAGTCATATTCTTTCAAGATCTCTGAATCCTTTCTAAGACGTTTAAGCTGCGAGCTCAATCTTGCTACACAGTTCTCAAAATTATCTGGCAACAGCCAATGTTGCTCCTTCCAAGGTAGATGGACCAAATACTTTCAAAGGCTTCAAGAACAGTATCCTTATCTCGAATGCCGACAGAATCCAGATCCCACAATCTATCCAAATCCCCTTGCAGCGTATCATCAACAACCCTTGACTCCGTCCTCAACACGTGAGTCGACGAAAACTGAATACTTGAAAGTTTCTCCCTCGGGAGATTTTCCACCTGACCCGACAACACCCATCCAACCTTTGTAGAAACAGCCACAGGTCCACCCTGTCCTGACTCCTCCCCCCTTAGTGACTTGCCATCATCACTTTGCAGAATCAATTCCTAGTGCTTGTAAACCTCTAACCTGAATTTCCAAATTATCGAGAACAGCTTGGAGTCCCTTAACGTTAGACATGGCATTCAGAGGCTGTAATTTGAGTAAGGCCTCCAAGTGAGAGCTAATAATTATCTGCTTGTTTCCAAATCTATCGGTAAAGATTTCGATAACCTCCTTATAGTTCAGTTCAGTTAATGGTAATCCACTGATAGAAGTTAGAGCTGGGCCATCTAATAGACTTCGCAGATAATTAAACTTGTCAACATTAGTTAGCGAAGCGTTCTTATTCACCGCAGACGAGAACGAATCTCAAAATGTTTGCCAGTTTTTTGGGTCGCCAGCAAATCTTTTTATGTGTAGTTTTGGTAGCTTCGCATCGTTACTAGAACTAGATGGAACAGACCTACCTTGACTTCCTTGAGGC